GGTGGCATGGAGGGGTAAGTAAGGGGAACAGAGCGTGTGATGCACAAAGTGGTTGTGGCTGCGGTTGAATCAAGTCCAAACTTTGAGGCGCCTCAAAAGGGGTAAGTGGGGCGTGGAACAGAGCGTGTGATGCACAAAGTGTGTGGCTGTTGAATCAAGTCCGAAGTTCCCTCTGTGCCTTAGCGAGGTGGTGGCAGAGTGTTGGGGGGAGAGCAGAGATGGCGGGAGGAGGGAGGTGATAGAGAGGATGTTGAGGGGAGACGGTAAGAAGATGTTGACTCGACTCACTTGATGGTTTACCAGTTTGGTTTTCTCAACAGCCACCCTGTGGGATGCTGTGTCCGATCCTGGCACGATGTGGCACAACATGGTATGACGTGGCATGACGTGGCAGAACCAACTGGAGGATGTTTACAGTCTGCTGCGCTTCCTGCGAGTGCAGCCGTGGGACAACTGGGGGTGGTGGCAGCGCCTCGTGCAACAGCCGTACGAGCGAGGGGACATGCGAAGCATCAAGCTGCTGCAAGGTCTTCTTAAACCCCTCATGCTGAGGAGAACCAAGGACTCCAAAGACAGGTAGCTTGAGACGTCTCAACACTAGGTAAGAATCTCTACAAGGTCTTAGGACAGGATGGATGTTTTGAGAGGGCTCGGGAGTCAACTGGGTATGATGGCACTTGATGTTGTGAGACGTCTCTGAACCCACTGTAAGTATCAATCAATCCACCCTCACTTCCCTTTTGAACCAATCCTTTCTCGTGACTTCCCCACTTTTTTGCTGTCTTTTCCACTCGCTGTCAGGAACGGGGATCCTATCCTTGTCCTGCCGCCCATATCTTTCCGCGTGATCTCGTGCGAGTTCTCCCCAGAGGAAAGGGACTTTTACGACGCACTGCATAATAAATCCAAGGTATGCCGCCCAGCAGAATACGGCCTAAGTTATGCCAACCAGCACAATAAGTCCAAGGTTTGCAGCCCTACCAGTCACGTTCCCGACAGTCACATTCCTGGCTTGCACTTCCCCTCCCCCCCCCCCCCCCCCCCCCCCCCCCCCCCCCCTTCCCCCTCCCCCCCCCTTCCCCCCCTTCCACGTTCCCCCCACACGTTCGCGCATTCTCAACTGTTTTTATGCTCCAATCCCTTCCTGCTCTCCCCATGGCCCCTGCTCACCTCACCAGGTCAAGTTTGTTTTTTGAGAATTCTCAAGACACCTTTGTGGCACAGGGCCGAGTGCTGCACAACCACTCTCTCCCCTCCCTACGTCCTACTCACTCACGCATTCCCAACCGACTCTGCGCCCCACCCCCGTCATTTCCTCCTCCGCCCCCCACCAGGTCAAGTTCGACAGCTTCGTGGCGCAGGGCCGCGTGCTGCACAACTACCCCCTTCCTTCCCTTCCATTTTCTTCCCTTCCCTTCCCTTCCCTCACTCCTACTCTCTCACATTCCTTCCTCCGGCTCTCTCCCTCTCCCTATGGCACCACCAGGTCAAGTTCGACAGCTTTGTGGCGCAGGGCCGAGTGTTGCACAACTACGCCTCCATTCTCGAGATGCTGTTGCGCCTGCGCCAGGTGGGTGGGTGCTGGGTGGTTAGGTGCGCCAGGTGGGTGGGTGCTGGGTGGTTAGGTGCGCCAGGTGGGTGGGTGCTGGGTGATTAGGTGCGCCAGGTGGGTGGGTGCTGGGTGATGGGTATGGATGGCGGGCATTGGGTGGTGGGCTGCCATTGACCATGCAGGTAGCCATGCTGGCATATGTGCACCACATGTGCTCTTGCAGTCAAGCATGCACCACATGCGCTCATCTCATCCTGCTGGGGTTCGGACCATTTCAGGCGACTCGACATGAGGCGCGCGTCGTTTCTCTGTCCTCTCCTCACCCTACTTTTATTTTCTTCCCTCTATCCCACGCACACCAATCAGGTGTGCGACCACCCGTTCCTCGTTTTAAGCCGCTCTGATACAATGGACGACGAAGACCTCAGCAAGCTGGGACGAAAGTTCTTAGCAGCTTCCTCACAGGCAGCAGCAGGTGCTGCTACTGCTGCTGCTGCTGCTGCTGCTGCCGCCGGTGCAGGAGCATGGGGAGGAACAGGCAGCACTGGTCCGGTTGGGTGGGACGAACCCCACAGCGGCCCGTCCCGGGAGTATGTGCAGTCGGTGATGGAACAACTGAAGAGGAGGAGGGAGGGGTTGACGCAGGGAGGGGACGAGTGTCCTGTGTGTTTGGAGGCAGCAGAGGATGCGGTGTTCATGCCCTGTGCGCACATTGCATGCCGTGAATGCCTGCTCACCGCCTGGAGGCCTTCAGTCAATGGCCCTTGTCCTGTGTGCCGGTACGTGTGCCGTGCCTTTTAGTGTTTTCTTGTTCGTTTCTTTTTTTAACGTATCAGCTAGTGAACTGAACTTGTCGTAGCTGCATGATAACCTTTCAAAGAAATAAAGATACATTCCATCTCGCTTATCGATCAACCCTTATACACAACATAGTTCCTCTTCTGTGGCCACTACACTCATTTTGAGTCTATTCAGAAATCAATTCCCCCTGCGTTCCCCAACAATCTTTTTTCTTGCCAACTTCTTCCAATCCAGTCGGCCAATCCTGCGCTCCCAGCTCATCACAGTGCCACGTGCCAGCCGCTTCTCATTGGACGTGGAGGCCAGCTGGCAGGACTCGGTGAAGGTCCGCCAGCTGCTACAGTGCCTGGGGGAGATCCGGGCGGCATCAGCTTGGAAGGGAGCGAATGGGGGGGGAGGAGGGGAGAAGAGCGTGGTTTTCAGCCAATGGACGGCGTTTCTTGACTTGTTGGAGATCGCATTCAAGAGGTGTGCAGAGCGGTTTGTTTTCTGCGCACTTGAAAGAATATGTTTAATGACCTGTTGCAGATCGCATTCAACAGGTTGTGAATAGGGGGCTATTTTCGAGGCGCTTCAGACAAAAGTAATTTCTTGACTTGTAGGAATTTGTACCTCCAACGTTGAGAGGGCAAGCCCAGGCGAGAGCGAAGGACTTTTCCGTTCAATTCTACAGTACGAAGCACTTTTTTGGTTCCCTTCATTGCTCTCTCCCTCTCCATCCCTCTGTCAGTGCAGGGCAAAGGTGCCATATGTGCAATGCAAGTGAGTGGCAGCATGAGATGTACTTCATCGATTTGCTTTCTCCTCCTTTCTCTCCCTCCCCATCCCTTCATGTGGTCTGTGCATGCATGCAGGGCCAGGTGCTGTACGTGCGGCTGGACGGCAGCTTGTCGCAGCAGCACCAGCAGCAGCACCAGCAGCAGCAGCAGCAGCAGAGCGTGTAATATAGCAGTCCTTATGCTGCATGTGGTTACTCTCCTCTTCCTCTCGTCTCTCTCCCCCCACCCGTCCCTTCCATGCAGGGCCAAGGTGCTGTATGTGCGGCTGGACGGCAGCATGGCACAACAGCAGCGGGAGCGGGCGATAAACGAGTTTCGGGAGAATCCCAAGGTGGAGGTGCTGCTGGTGTCACTCAAGGCGGGCGGCGTGGGGCTCAACCTCACTGCTGCCTCACATGCTTTTGTCATGGTACGTTGAAAAACTCCCAAGGTGGAGAGTCCCAAGGTGGAGGTGCTGCTGGTGTCGCTCAAAGCGGGCGGCATGGGTTTCAACCTTACTGCTGCCTCGCACGCCTTTGTCATGGTATGTTGCAAAAATAAAACAAAACAGGTGTTACTCATGGAATACCTTTCTATTTATATGGTGTGTATGTCAGTCAGAAAAATGTAAACCTTGTTCCTCATGTTAGCACTACCTCCCACCTGTCTGTTCAGGAGTGTTAGTGGAACACCCATCAGTGAAGGGGCCATCCTTGTTTCAAGTTGGCTTACCAGTATTTCACCATCTGGTCCTTGCTTGCCTTGCTCCACCCCACCCAACCCCTCAGGACCCCTGGTGGAACCCGTCAGTGGAGGAGCAGGCAGTGATGCGAGTGCACCGCATAGGGCAGACTCGTCCCGTAACAGTAACGCGCTTCATAGTGCGCGACTCAGTAGAGGAGCGAATGCAGAAGGTGCAGCTGCGCAAGGACCAGATGGTGCAGGGAGCGCTCATGGATGATGGGGCACGCACAGCAAGGATCAACGAGCTCAAAATGCTCTTCCGATAGGTGTGTTTTGGGTCAACTCAAAGCGAGGATCTCAGGTGGTGCAAGGAGCGCTCATGGGCGATGGTGCGCGCGCAGTGCAAGGAATAACGAGCTCAAAATGCTCTTCAGATGGGGTAGCTGCTAACCGGGCAATTGTTAGTATAATGCTAATGTCATAGGCATCAATGCTAATGTAAATGTTAAGTCTAGATCAGGGTCCTCGTTATCAGACCAAATCGGTCTGATGGTCTGAGAATCAGACCTGCTTTTTCCTTTTCATCTGATTTTAGTTCGTCTGAACCCAAAGACAAGCAATTTTATTTCGTCTGAAAAAACAGACTCAGGGCGGATTCCTGTCCTCGTGTCATCTGCCCTTGTGTCATCCGAACATTTGGGACCACTCAAATTCTCCGCGTCGGATGACCCGAAGTCGAATCGGAAAACCCTTTGCGCGGGAGAAAAAAACTCGGATGACACGATGTGCGGATGACACGAAGTGAGGAATCCGGCCTCAGCGTTATATTTCGTCCGAGAAATCAGATAGTGCGTACATTTCCGTCTGACACGGAATACTAAGTAGACCCGCCCTTGTGCGGCTTTCAGCCGAAAGCTCCCCCCCGCCTCCCCCCCTCTCCCCCTCTCTTCAACCTCCTTGCACCTTTACTTCAATTCCTCGCCCCTTCGAACCGAAACCCTGGCCCCCAATTCTCCACCCGCCCCTCTCTTCAGCCCCCGCGCACACCAAGTCCCGCGCTCCTCACCCTACTCAAAATCCACCCAATCCCAGAAGTCAACCCCAGTCCCCTCACCCTCTCGTCTCGCACGCGGCCCAACACCCCCAGCCGAACTCCCCCGAAGTCCCTGTCGCAGCCCAACACCCGCCACCCCAGCCCCCATCATGCAGCTCGCTGCCCAACAACCTACCGCATTTTGGTAGTGCCGCCCTGAATCGATATAATACATGAAACGACTGCAATTTGAAAAAAAAAAAGACAGCACTATCTGTTTCATCTGAAAAAACAGACGTGGCTTATGCATTCGTCTGAAAGTTCAAACTAACCATTTTTCCTCGTCTGAACGTAAGACGAAACGAGTTTTTTTATACATGTCTTCAGACGGGCTTAAATCCTAGCAAGAGCCCTGGTCTAGATGAACCATTTCCACGGCTACCATGTTTTGATTTAGTTGCAAAGAGTTGCTCCCTTTGTCAGTGACATCACCAGGGTTTAAAGTTTTTGTTTACACATGGAACAGTGGGCCAGTGGCAGAGGTGCCATCTGCTGGTTATTGGGGTTTAGCTGCTTGCTACACCAGAACATGAGCTAACAAACAGGACATGAGCTATTGCTTGTTCCTTCACAAGTCCCTTCCTGGTAATTAGGCTTGATACACTTCTGCCAGCCAGGGGAATATATTCAGCTATGAACGGAGCAGCATGAGCATGGGCATAATGAATGTACAATATTGAGAACCTTTTTGTTAGTGTCACAATTCCATGTGATCATCATCTATGTCTTCTAATTGAAAGCACGTGCCTGCAGCACCTATTCCCTGTGATGACTGTTCATGTTGCGACGGTGGTAACCCGCTTCGCGACTCATGAAACATGCCTCGCGACTGGCTGAAGCCGGAAAACGACGAGCACGATTCACCTTCTCCGATGCCCCCCCAACCCCGTGCTGCTCCCCACACTCCCGTTCCGCCCGTTTCCCCCGACGAAGATTCACAGGAGCCAGCTCCCCCACATTCCCCGCGATGTTGCGGGTGAGAGGCCATGCCCCCCGTAGCGCACGCTGGCGCGCACCCTGTTGCTGTGGACGTGCCCGCAGACCCCGAATATAACCGTTGCGATTGCGACTCTTGCCAGCCATTCGAGCCGCTCGCGCCACTGCTACAGGCGCTGCCGGTCCAACTTGCGCACATGCTCTCGGGCGCGTTTCTCGCCGCATTGTCCGCCGCGTCTAGCGCCGGATGCTGCTGCGGCGCCGACGCGATCTGCATGTTCCAGGCGCCCCACCGGATGTGCGGAACGCGCAGCCACGGGCTCGACCAGGACAAACGCGGGACGGTCACCGTCAGCGACCCCACCGTGTGCGCCGCCGTCGCACGCTCCGGGCTCGCGTCAAACGGTAACTTGAACCGGCACCCGAACTTCCAGGGGTTAGATATCGACGAATGAACGCTGCTACTGCTGCAGCTGCTGCAGCTGTTGCGGAAAGAGCCTGTGCCTGGCGGTGCGGGTAGCAGCGAGCGCTCGCTATGACGCGAGCAAAAAATGGTCAGAAGAGCACCATCACGGCACAAATCAGCATCGCCATCCACGTCAGCTGAAGAGATTCCCCGCATTCCGCAGGCTCCCCCTCCGCCGTTCCGACCCGCAAACCGGCCAGCACCCCCTCCCTGATCTGCACAGCCGTTTGGGCAAGGCGAGCTCGACCGTCCAGGTTCACTGGATTCAATGCGTTCGACGACCACCTCCACCTCCTCCTGGCGCAACCCGTCCCTTTGGACTTCAAACGAGTACGTTTCGCCTGTCTCCGATATAAGCCACGTGGGCTTCCGGACGTCACCCTGGTACTCCTTTATGATCTCGAACTCGATAGTGGTGAAAGAGGGAGCGAACTCCCCGCTGTGTCGAAATGGCTTTTCTCGACAAGACTTTGTGTCGTACGGCTGTGGCGCTGTGGGTCTGAAGATTCCCCGTGACCTACGGGCCGCCATAGTAGCTACGCGCCGCCTAAGAAAACGACGGCTAAACCACGAGAAATGCCTCTTCTTTTGCCTCGAAAGGCGCGACGATGAAAAAGTTGACCGGAGGTCTCCTGCGACATCAACCTAAGCGACGCGGCCTGTAGTCCTCAGCTAGGGAGCATCTGCTGCAAAGAGGGAGCGGAGGGGAGGGCCAAGTCATCTCTAGGGCAAGCAGTCAAGGTTTCTTTTTTCGGAGTACTATAGTTGGCCAGATAGGGTACGGTAATTCCGATAACGAAGAGTACTTTCTAGAACTAGCTTGCCTGCTGGGTGCAAGCGAAAGTGAGGTTGAGAGCGAGGGTAAGGGGTGAGGGTGGGCACAGAGCAGTGGAGCGGAGTGATGGCTGATCAGATAGGGGGATTCATGACAAAGTTTCGCCGACTGGTGTTGGGTTGGGGAATGAGTTGAGGAGTTCGTTGGGCTGTTTTGTTCCATGTTCCAGCTCAGCTTCTCCACCGTGACTTCCAGCTCCTTCTGAGGTATCCTATTGGTTACGAAACTGGCGATATTTCTGCGATCCTCGTGTATGCTGGAAATGGGCTGCGGAAATTCGGTGAATGCCCACTTTCGCCAACATGTTTCAAGGACAAAGTTGGTGATCGACAGCGCTCTTCCCGCCTCGTGTCGCACATCACATCCCTGTCAAATTTGACAAAACTCGACTCGACCCCTGCAGTGCTATTGGAGGAGGCCTGTTCGTTAGAGGCGATGTTCGTGTGTTTCCAGCCACTCAAAAGAGCTTCTAGCAGCTTCCGCTATCCATTGGGATTGACGCAATTGGCAACACCATTCCACCGTATCATACCCGCCACAAGCTCACTTCGTGACCCACTGAACACCTAAAACCTAGAATCAGCTACAGTCAAAGCATAAAAGAAATGCAGCAAGTTCCCGCTCGAAAACGTTATCCGAAATTCTTCGCAACAAATTCTTACCTGTTTAGGTTCTTTTCTATTGACACGTCACGGGATGTGACGTGGCAATAACAGGCGCTTCCGTCATCACCATCGCGTCCCCTCCCTCGTCATCTCATCACACCCACACCCACCTGCTCGCTCCTTCCTCAAGTATTTCACCTAACCTACTTTATCTCTCTCAATCTCTCCCAATCTATCCCCATCTCTCCCAAATCCCTCATCCCTCACCGTCTGTTCTGTCGCAACCGTGTCTGTCGGCTCGGTTTTTCCAAGCCGCCTGCACCACACCACACCACCACACCCCTTCTCCCTCTTCTCCAACCTTGCCTCTTTGCGCCCTCCTACATTCCTCTCACCCCTACTTGTCGAATTAGGGTTTTCGCATTGCCGGACATGGCGCTCGCCTGTCCGTCCTCCGTGTCCTTCAAGTCCTTCCAAGGGCTCAAGGCCAGTCCTTCCGTCTCTTCTCAAGCTCGCATTAGTCGCTCCAATGTAGCTTTCCCGAATGCCGCGTCCAAGCGGCTGGTAGCCGTCGCGGCCGTCGCAGAGGCACCAGCAGCTGCCGGCCCGGCAGTTCTGCCCGTCCTGACAATGGACGGCGCGAACTCCGGCAAGACGGCAGAGCTAAACCTGCGGACGGCACGGCCGGAGACGGCAAAAGCCGTTGTCCACCGCGCCGTGGTCACCTACATGCAGAACAAGCGCGCGGGTACCGCGAGCACGAAGACCCGCGCGGAGGTGCGGGGAGGTGGTCGGAAGCCGATGAAGCAGAAGGGAACCGGCAGCGCTCGCCGAGGATCGCAGCGAACGCCGCTGCGCCCGGGTGGTGGTGTGGTGTTCGGGCCTAAACCCAAGGACTGGACTATTAAGATCAACAAGAAGGAGAAGCTGCTCGCCGTGGGGACCGCTCTGCAGAACGCGGCGACCGCGAATGGCGGCGCGAGCTTCATTGTGATCGAGGACGTGCACGACAAGGTCGCGGCGCCGAAGACTAAGGACTTCGTCGCGGCGCTCGCGCGGTGGGGCGTGGATTACAAGAAGGACCACGCGCTGCTGCTGACGGCCGAAGCTTCGGAGAACCTGCTGCTGTCGACGCGGAACATCGAGAACCTGAAGGTGGTGACGCCGAACGCGCTGAACATCTACGACGTGCTGCGCGCCGATAAGCTGCTGGTCACCGAGTCCGGGCTTGAGTACCTGAACCAACGATTCGGCGATGACATTCTGTTTGTAGATGGCGAGGAGGATGACGAGGAGGGAGAGGAGGAGGCGTCGGATGCTTAGATTCATTGGGACGGGGGAAGGATAACGGATATGGTGATAGCAGGGCTTGCAGATTTAACGTGCAGGGAAGTGAAGCAGACAGGTGGACTTGGTGTGGGAAGGTGTGGAGGAAAGGGGGGAAAGATCGGCGGGATGTTGCGGTGGGTGTAAGGTAGGGGAAACGTTCACTGGCCATGAGTTTGTGTTATCTAGCGTACGGTAAGCTTCTGCTGCTGCTGCTATCACATTTCACGTTTTTCTGAGGCATCTCCGCATGTGGCCCTTAGGTTCCTGTGTACAAGCATTTTCACATTACCATACCAAGAAAAAACAACCAATGTCACAGCTTAACGTGTGCCTAGATGTCTGCATTCCCACCTGTGGCAAGCCCAAGACTCTTTTCGTCTTCCATCATCCCCCATCCCCCCCTTACTCTTCCCTTCATCCTCGCTCTATCACCTTCCATTCTAACCTCTCTCCTCCCCTCTGGAAATTCACACACACTCGTCACTACCCCGCCCTCCCCCCTATCCCCTCCCCCCCTCCTCCCTTTCATCGCTCATTCCCCTCCGCCTAGTGCCTACCCGTCCACTCCTCATGCCTCCTGCCTCCACTTCCTCTCTCCTCAGACCTCCATCCCCTATCTTCCCCCTCTTTATACACACTTGCCATGCCTTCCCTCACCCTCCTCCCCTGCTTCCCTGCTCCCCCTCCTCGCCTTCTGCCAACCCATCCCCTCCTGCCTCCACCTCCCTTGCCCCATTTTGGACCTCTAGCCCTCTGGCAAGCTTCTTACCCTTTCAAATCCCTGCCTTGCATTTTCCCTTCCACTCTTTGCCAAATCCATTCTAGCCCCCTGCCAAGCATCCCTGACATGCACGTTGATCTCGTTGGCAATCATAATTAGTGCCTCGCACTTGGCAATCAACTCTACCCGACTGATGTTTTTAGAGCATGAAACTCAAAATGGCAGGGAATTGAGGCTACCTAGAAGCAGGTTTTTGTGACTCGCATATAGATGATGACGAACTACACTATTCTGCTGTTATCAAATTCAAATGAAACAGAATGCTTTCACGCCTATGAGTGGACCTTGGGTTCCTCATCACGCCTTCTACAGTTTATGGCAGGTTGCCAAACCAAGCCAGTCAATAGCGCCTCTTATTGGCTGCGGTCTTGCGCCTCGACCTTCGCGAACATGTTGATTTCCTGGGCCACCCTTCTCTGGCTTTAGTTAGACAACTGCGCTAGTTAGAAACTGCATTGTTCCTGCAAGCGCTCCACACGCGCACCGTGCATGTCGCAAAGGCGGCGACGAGGACAGTGAAGCCGCCAACTAAGGGAGAGCCGCTGTGCAGGTGGTTCCGACGAGCTCCCTGAGTGCATGGAGCTCCATGCGTGCGCGCTCCCTACCAGAACTGAATCTCTAGGCGACTACAGAATGGAGCTCCATGCGTCCACGGAACGTCCATACCACGCCCTGCTGACATCTCCTCGCGTCGCAAAAATGCCTTGGGAAAGAAGTCCGGGTTCATGTGCGAAACCCGCTCTGTGGCCCTGTCGGAAGTCGAGACGCGGAGTCTGTTCGGAGGCTGGAGTCTCGTGAGGAGGGTCCGCATTGCGGGCTTTTTCGTATCATCGAGATATCATGTGCAACGAGGCCGGTGGAGTGTGTGTTTTTCTTGTACCGGGTAAATGCAGTGAGTCAGTGCGTGCACCCCGGCCTGAGGCCGCAGTATCGCACAGGGATCGTGAAGCCTTCAATCGCCGGAAGAATCTCGGAGTTGGTTGCAAGTGATACAATCAACAAGTGGACTGTAGGGTGAACGGAACGGCTACCTGAAGATTTTTACGGCGCCTCAGATGTTCAAGGAGCAAGTGGGCAGTATAGTGAACGGCTACCTGAAGCACTAGGATCAGGAAAAGAACATCGAGGAGGGAAACGAACGCAGAGGGAGAAGAAGGCAGCAGCCAATCCGTCATGGCTGCTCCATCCACCAGCGCCACGGTGGCTCTTCGCAGCAAGGGCAACGCCTTCTACGCCAGTGCTTTCACCGACGGCATCGATTCACTTCTCAAGCGCAGCCGCCTGAACATCGCTCTCTCCAAGTACCGCGAAGCGTTGCGCCGCCACGTGGCAGAATCTCAGCCGTCCGCTGATGAGCTGTCATCGCTGTGGAAGAACGTAGCTATGGTTTCATCTGCCATGGCGGCTTGGCATGCAGATGCTTATAAGGCGTACAAGCCTCCTGTGATAGACGCTGCTGCATCGGAACGGGTCATGGTGAGAGCCATGCGGCGAGCCATCGAGGAAAAGGAGTGGGACTATAAGCAAATCGAGGAGCACTATAAGGAGGCTGTGAAAGCGTTCTGCCTGGCCCTGCTTTTTGGCAGTTGCGAGATACGGAATAAAAGCAGTCGCCCCCCAAGCAGTGGCACCACCACTTGTGCCAGCCATAGGGCGGCAAAGGGCAGCAGCAACCGTCCAGCTCGCAGCGCTCCAGCCAAACCGGAGGACTGGCAGCAGAAGGTTCTGGGATCTTTCACCGATGTGGTCTCCCAAATCTTGGCGTTTTCCCGCGTTGCTAGTAGCAGCACGGGGGGCAGGGAGGGGGGCATCTGCGCATCTACAGCAGGTGCCGGTGTGCGGGACAATGGAGAGCGGTTGCTGTGGGTGGTGATGGGTGCGTTTGGTGAGATGCGTGCACGGGACAGCTGGAAGCAGCACTTTGGTGATAAGGACCCTGACAAAGGTAGATTTTACTTTTGAGAATTCTCAGAATTAAGGACCCTAACAAAGGTTCGCGCAATTCCAACTAAACTTCCCCGTTCTTGTTGAATGACCATTTCAGCGCCTTTTAGATTTACTGCTCAGAAGGATTCTTTTGTTTTTACCCCTTTTTTTTCACATATTTCTTCGTGCTTATGCAAGCGCCATCTTCATCCCTTGTTGGAAAGCAGCAGTGTTATGGTAATTTTCCAGACTCCTCTGAGACTGGAAAGCTGCTGCTGTCTACGCCTCACCACACCCGCACCGCAGTTGATTGGACAGCAACCTCCACACGCCACGTGGAGGTCTTTGCAGCCTTCCACGTGGCATTCTCTCAGTTCCTCCTGGACAAGGGCCAATCACTGCTCACCATCAACCTCGCCCGCTGCTCGCACTCCCCCCCACCAACCACTGCGGCCGGGATCACGGCGGGGGTGAACGGTGTCAGTCTGGGAGCAGGGGGGAAGGGGCCGGCAAGGCTGGTGGTGCAGAGGGAGAGTGCACGGTGCTTTGCGGAGTGTGAGCGGCCGCTTAGACTGCTGGACGATGCTCTGGGGACACTTGAGAGGAACGTGGCGGGTGGGTGGTGGTGGCTGTGAAAGTTCATTAAAGGTTGAAGGGAAGGTTCAGTGATTGTTCTGTGAATTCGCAGCAGCCTGATTGGCTCTTTGCCGCTGCTTGTCGGCTTAGAGCCGTGACTCCCATGCCCTCTCTGCTCCTTCTTGCCCGTGCCTACAGGCAGGTCGTGTGGTAACCAGTCGGTAACACAAGCCACCCTCTCTGCCCTGCGCAACGAAGCCAAGGACCTGCAGACTTCCCGCTTCGCCTGCAGCTGTCTGTGTGAGTCAGTTGAAACCCTCGTCCGCGCGATGGGCCTCTGTGCACGAGCAACAGCAAAAGCAAATGGGAGCAGGATGGATGACAGTCGTCTGGGCGACAAGCCTGCTGCTGATGTGGCACTGCTGTGGGCGGCAGTGGATGGGTTTAAGGAGGCGGTGGTGCTGACGAGGGAGCGCCACGTGGACATGGAGGCGTACGCGCTGAGCTGGCTGGGGCATGTGTATGACGTGGCACTGCAGATGGACGACATTGGTCATCGCTACCACCAACGCGCCGTGCAGGTGAAAGTTCTGATCTGACGCAGTGGACTGTCTACAGGTGGATTCTTATGTCAGCTTGCAGGTGGGTTAATATCTCACATGCCCCTCGCCCTCCCACACTCCCCCCAATATCCTCCCCTCCCCCTTCCTCCACAGCTCATGCTTTCCGCAGTCCAATCCCACCCCACACTCGCTCTCTTTCTCTAGTACTCGGCCCTAAACGAGCCATTGTTCGTCACCAGGCTTATCTCTCTCACATGCCCCTCCGCCCTCCCACACCCATTCTCCCCTCTTTCTCTCCCCACCAATTTCTTCCACAGCTTGTGCTTTCCGCAGTGCAATCCCACCCCAGGCTCGCTCTCTCGCCCTGGTACTCAGCTTCCGTTCGAGCCATCGACCGCCACCAGGCCAAGGTGCGGCGGCAGGAGGAGCAGCGGCGCGAGCAGGAGCGCGAACCCCTGCTAGCTAAGATGAAACCAGAGCTTGAAACGCTCTCTAAGAAGAGTGACAACGGGTGGAAGGAGCTTCTCACTCACGTGTACAGCAAGTATCCGCCCAAGAATGGGAATGGAAATCACAAGTGCCCGTCGTTGAATGTGGATGATGCCAAGGTGTCGCTAAGAACGGCCATTCTGCACTACCATCCGGATAAGAACGGGGAGCACGGCAACAGGTGGAAGATTGTGTGCGAGGAGGTGACCAAATATCTTAACGCTAAGTATGCTGTCTTCACCTGTGCGTGATGCTCAGTTGACTCAGCCCAAGGACTCGCGGATTGTGACCATTGATGATCATGGGGAGGGAGACCGCGAGTGATGGTTCCTAGTCTGAAAGAGTTTTCCCTGCGCTGGACTACCGTAGGATGTGTGTGCGCTTTTCCTAATATGGAGTCGCTGCATGTGCGCTGTCAGAATGTGATGGTTGTCTAGCCTGCAGTGGGGTACTCTATAGCGAGTACAACCCGAATTAGGGTTTCCTATATGTACTCAACTGCTTGCTAGTGAAATCCCTCTTTGCCTATTTCTCGTTTTCGCCTAGCCTGTTTAACATGCTATCGTAATCTCCCGTACATAAGACCCTAGGGTCTTATGATAATCACCCCTAAAAAGGCTGGGGGGTATAATTAAATTGTATACTCTTTAGAAGACCCGGGTCTGTTCATATTGACATTTATAAGAATGTAGTTTTGGAGCTCAAAGAAGTGATTTGGAATTGCTCCGTTTTTAGCTCCTCCCAAAAATACTCGAATTGGTCTCCACACGGGCCGAACCCATGTCATCACGAACCCAGTGCATCGTTTCTGGGTGCGATTTCTCTAAATCAACATGGAATATGACCATTTTCAGTTGCATTTTTGTAAAATCCGCACTTCTCTAGGATGTGGGGGGGGGGGGGGGGGGTCTTATAATGTTAGGAGCCATTTAGGGGGGTATAACTCAGATGTACTCGAATAGAGTACCCGGGTCCGTATTATAGACCCGGGGGTCTACAACTGGGGGGGGTCCTATATACGGAGGATTTTGGTATCAGAGCAGGTCGACCCTCCTGGGTCGATCCTGTGGGTGGTCCCACCAGAAGCTTCCGCTGCTGTTTCCTGCCTGCCGCGCGCTCCGGGCGTGCGGCGATTTTTCTTACCGCCGTGCGCTCGGGGCGCGCGGCGGTTTTCTCCCCCGTCGACAGTCGCGTCGCCCCCCGCCGGAGCCCGTCGCGTCGCCCCGCGACCCGCGCGTCGCCCCCCGTCGCCCGACGCGGCCCGCGCGACCTGCGCCAGGCCCGCGCGCGGCCCGTACGGCCTGCGCCAGGCCCGCGCGCGGCCCGTACGGGCTGCGCCAGGCCCGCGCGCGGCCCGTACGGGCTGCGCCAGGCCCGCGCGCGGCCCGGGCAGCCCGCGCGCGCCTCGTCCGGCCTGCGCCAGGCCCGTGCGCGCCCCGGGCAGCCTGTCCCAGTGCCGCATGCCGTCCCCCGAGCTTTTGACGGCGCCCCACCCCTGCTGCTGCCCGCGTTCCTGTGTTAGGGTTTGGGGGTGGAGAGTATGGGGGTGCCGTGTGTGTGAGCCGTCCCCTGCTCCTCCTCCTCCTCCGTCTCCCACTGCTGCAGCTACCGCTGAGGGGGGTGGATGTGTTGGAGCCGTCGGAGTGGTACGAGGGGGGTGGCGTGTGAGCGGTGCTAGTGGTTCAACAGGGAGTGTGTGAACGGGGTGTGGGACAGTTGGGGGAGGTTGACCGGAGATAGCCGACTAGTCGTCAGCAGCGCCTGAAGTCCAGCAAGCCACGACCCCCTGTGGCCTGAGTAGTCCGGGGCTCTGCGCCCGGTAGCCACAGTGTGAGCACTCCTGGTAGTCCAGAGAGCCACGACCCCCTGTGGCCTGAGTAGTCCGGGGCTCTGCGCCCGGTAGCTACAGTGTGAGCACTCCTGGGAGCACAGCGAGCCAGCTGCGTCTGTCGCCGTGTAGTCCGGGTTTAGCCTGGTAGCGACAGTACTACGCACTCCTGCTGCCCGTGTGTCTGCAGCTTCAGCCGTCGCCTCCCATCTTCTCGCCCCCACAGTTTCTCCTCCTCCTCACTTGCTCTCTGTGCTAGCCACTAGCTTTGCTTATAATTGTGAATTTCTGCTCTGCCTGCTTGTTGTATTGATTGTACCCCACTTTGACTATGGGGGTGTGTCAGAATGTGATGGTTGTCTAGCCTGCAGTGGGGTACTCTATAGCGAGTACAACCCGAATTAGGGTTTCCTATATGTACTCAACTGCTTGCTAGTGAAATCCCTCTTTGCCTATTTCTCGTTTTCGCCTAGCCTGTTTAACATGCGCAACGTTGCTTGAAGCAGTTTGAGTAGGCAACAGGTGGAAGATTGTGTGCGAGGAGGTGACCAAACCCTTATCTTAACGCTAAGTATGCTGTCTTCACCTGTGCGTGATGCTCAGTTGACTCAGCCCAAGGACTCGAGGATTGTGACCATTGATGATCATGGGGAGGGAGTCTGTCAGTGATGGTTTCCCATGTTCTAGTCTGAAAAGAATTTTCCTGGCACGGAGTAGGATGTGTGCTGTGCGCTCTTCCTACTGTGGATGCTGATCAAAGTTGCTGGCAGCAACGAAGCATGCTACACGACAAAAGCTGATGTCATGGAACTGAGCAGGTGCAGCAGTATATATTCGAGCGCACTCAAACTGAGCTGAGGACAAGAAGACTCGAGGTGCCATGATACACAACCCAACTCATGACAGTTCCACGCCCAAACGTCCAGTACAACTCAAATTTGAAAACAAATTATGGGCATTTGGCGTCTCACAAAACAGCAGTCGAGCCACTCACACCGACGAATCTGGGAGCCTGAAAGCAACTTGGGCCAATCAAGCCATGTCGATCTAAACTGTAGACTGACACTATCCCTTCTGCTCTAATCCTGGTGAAGAAGGGTTTTCTGGACTCGAGACTCCCAATCAACATGAGGGGCTTAGTCGGAGGAGAGGACGTTGAGGTACTGCTCCCAACCATCCGTCTCCAGCTGCCCTGCCTTCTCCAACACCATGCCCTCCAGGTCCTTCTGGTATGCCACCATACTGTGGGGAAGGGAGGAGTGGAGAGGAGTGGAGAGGAGTGGGGAGGAGTGGAGATGAGCAGAGGGGAAGGACGGGGAAAGAGATGGTGAGCACTAAGCGTTCGCCCTGCCTTCTCCAGCACCATGCCCTCCAGGTCCTTCTGGTACGCCACCATGCTGTGACAGTGGTGCGGTGCAGGGAGGAAGGGGGGGGGGATGGAAAAGAAGTGGGGGTAAGGAAACGAAGGTGGTGAGCACAAGGACGGCTGCCCTGCCTTCTCCAGCACCATGCCCTCTAGGTCCTTCTGGTGCGCCACCATGCTGTGGGGAAGCGGCAGGGCGGAATGGCGGTGAAGAACACAAGGGGCTGCCCTGCCTTGCCAAGCAAACCTGGACACACCTGGACACACCTGGAGGGACCTGGACGCACCTGGAGGCACCTGGACGCACCTGGAGGCACCTGGACACACCTGGAGGCACCTGGAGGCACCTGGACACACCTGGACGCACCTGGACACACCTGGGCACCACTCGACACTTGCGAGCGTGTACAATGACCGAACGCATACTAGTCCAGGAGTGCAGGGTCGGAGGCTCCCAGCATGCCGAATCTTGAGACCAGCTCATACCACTCCAAGAGGGAGGTATATTCGTGTGACTTTTGAGAATTCTCAAAAGGCCAGCTCATACCCCTCTCTCTCTCTAAGAGGGAGGGGGTGAATCTTCACAGCACACCTATTTCCGAGCAGACACGTACCGGTCCAAGAGGGCGGGATCCGATGCTCCCAGCATGCGCACGGCCAGCAGAGCAGCATTGACCGAGTTGTTGATCGCCACCGTGGCCACTGGAATGCCACGTGGCATCTGGTGATTGGACGGGGGATACAGCCAAGGAAATAGAGAGGAGCGATAGGGGTGGTGGGGGGACACAGGTCACAGAGAACGATAGGTTGACAAGACAAAAGGAATTTACCAATTCTCAAGACATTACACTTCAAGTTCAGAGATTACTTGATTGGTAGGTAGCAAGTGATGGCATGATAGGCACCTTCGCATGACTTTTACAAACATACAACAGTTCCAAAACTCTCCCACGACTAACCTGCACAATGGAGAGGAGTGAATCCATGCCGCCCAGAGCAGAGCCCTTGAATAACACGCCTATCACTGAGAGAGCCGCTTTTGAGCCTACTCAAAAATAGAAAGGAAACCCTCAAAAGCAATCCCTCCCAGGACTGACCTGCACAATGGAGAGGAGTGAGTCCATGCCACCCAGAGCCGAGCCCTTGACTGGCACTCCTATGACTGGGAGAGGTGACATTGATGCTACCATGCCTGGCCATGGTTAGTGGGGGGAGGGGAAGAGAGAGGGAAAGGGAAGGAGATGAGTGGAGAATAGTGCTTGAGTTGAAATCAAGAGCAGGCTTAAAGGTCCCTTGGGTTGAATTGTTGGAGCATCGTACAGGTGAACGGACGGGGCAAGGAGGGGAGAATGGGGGGGGCTTCTCAGAATTATCAAAAATCGCTCACAAGGTCTGTTGGGTTGGAATTTTGGAGCATTGTACAGGTGAAAGGACGGGGCAAGGAGGGGAGAACAGGGTGGCGAGAGAAAGGAGCGCCAGGGAGGGAAACGAGGGGCGTGGAGGAGAGGCATGAAGGCCAAGTTGCCAATGCTCTGTTGTTTTCACCTGGCAGGTGGGCGGCACCGCCGGCGCCAGCAATGATGACTCGGATGCCCCGTGTGTGTGCCGACTGCGCAAATGAGAACATGCGGTCCGGCGTGCGATGGGCCGACACTATGGTTAGCTGGAGAGGGGTGAGTATGGAAGGGAAGGGGGGGGGGGGGGGGGGGGAGAGAGCGGGGGGAGAGGCAGGGGGGAGGAAGGGAGTGAGTGGGAAGCAATGGTTGGGAAAGGAATGAGAACATGTGGTCGGGCGTGCGATGGGCTGACACTATGGTCAACTGGTAGGGGAGGAATGAGGGGAGGGTAGAACAGTGTGGGGGGGTGGGGAAGGGGGTGGGCAGGGAAGGGAGCGAGTGGGAGGAAGCAATGATATGGGAATTAATGAGAACATGCTGCCGGGCATGCGATGGGCCGACACTATGGTTAGGTGAGAAGACGGGGAGGGGGGGGGAGGGTAAGGGGGAGGAGAGGGGAAGTATTGAGCCAGCCTGTCGAGTCAACAGCTCTAGCCACTGCTC